CACTGGGTTGCACCTGCCAGGCTGCAGAGGCCCTGGGGGAGGGAAGCAGTGCGGAGCTCGCGGCAAGCAGCTTCTCTGCACCGGCCCACTGCTCCCTGCCACCCTGCTTCCCTCCCCTGAGGCCTCCGTAGCCTGGCGAGCAGGACCCAGAGTGGCAGGGAGCAGCAGGGCCACATGGAGAAGCTGCTCACTGCTGCAAGCTCCATGCTGCCCTGGTGACATGCCACCTGTGTGCAGGGCTGCAGTGAGGGCAGCGGTGCAGAGTTGTGCCCCTCAAAACAGTGGCACATGCAGGGGGTGCATTACCAAGGGAGTAGGGAGCTCACAACAGCAAGCACCTTCTCTGCGCGGCCCCACTGCTCCCTGCTGCGCTGGGTTGTGCCTACCAGGCTGTGGAGGCCCCAGGGGAGGGAAGCAGGGTGGAAGCCCAAGCCTGCAGCCTGCGCCTGCCCCACGTACAGATTTGTGGGGTGCGGGTCTCCCCTGCCCCCCAAGAGTGCATGCAGTGGTGGGAAGCCACCCCACCTGAGCCTTCATCAGGGAGCAGGAGGGAGCAGGGGCAGGGAGCTGCAGACCTGGGTCCGTAGCCCTGGCAGCTGGGGGCCCCCTCCAGCAGGGCTAGGGGAGCAGGGGCTGTGGGTGGGGGGGTGAGGGGCACCAGCAAGGCTGTGGAGGCTGTGGGGGGAGGAGAGCGAGAGGCACAAGCAGGGCCAGGGGGCTGTGGGTGGGGAGTGAGGGGCATCAGCAGGGTGTGGGGGCTGTGGGGGGCCTTTAATTTCAATCACATATTTTGCATTTTTTATTAGAGAATTTGTGATTTTTTTTAGTGGAGTATTTGAAATTCTTTATCAGGGAAAACCAGGATCCCTGGTAATCACCAACACAATGAACTTGGCTCAGACTATCTGCTGGAAAACCCTTTCCCACTACATCCAGACTTACTTACAGAGTAGAGGTGCACCAATACATCAGTCCATATCAGATTGGCACCAATAAAATGAAAATTGACATTACTGGTAGTCAGCCTTTTTGGCTGGGGTAGCCGATAATGTCACCGATAAATGACGTATGCACGCGCACAGTCACAGCATGCACGCAGCCAGGAATGCGGCCCAGCAGCTTGGAGAGCAGCATCCTGCCAGTAAGTCTGTGGGGGAGGAGGGGCGTGGGGGAGGAAAGGGGCATGGGGGTGCAGTTTGAGGCCCCCACAGTGAGGGAGGGAGTGAGGCTGGAGCAGGGGCTGCCCAGCCAGGGTGGAGCAGAATGTGGCACAGCTCACCCAGGGGCCACAGAGGGTAGGGAGCAGGGCGGCTTCCCGCTGCTGTGCGCATTCCAGGGGAGGCATGGGGGTCATGTACCCCCCTGGATTTGTGTGTGGGGCAAGGGCAGGCTGCACTAGCCTTTTCCTGGCAGGCCTGGGTTGCAGCTGGGCTTGGGGTGGACAGCAGTGGCAGCAGCAGCACTGGGAGTGGGGCTACAGGGTGGGTTATGGCCATCCCAAAATTCTCCATAGCTACCCCATAACCCCCTCCTTCCAGCACCGCCCCCATCCACCCCAAGCACAGCCCTGCACCCCACCCCACCCTGCCTGGGTAGCACCTGCCTCTGCCCCAGCCCTACTCCCTCCTTCACTGTGGGGACCTTAACCTGCACTTCTCCAAGCACCTTCTCTCCCCCATGCCCCTTCCCCCCAACAGACTTACCAGCTGGACACTGTTCTCCAAGCTGCCGGGCTGCATATCGGCTATTGGATTGGTATTGGCAGATATGGCCGGTTAATAATCAGCCATAGGTATCAGCCAAAATATCTTTATCAGTGCACCCCTATTACAAAGAAATGGTAACACATACTTTGACAAAATCTTGGCCTGGGACATTCTAGGAAGTGCTATCCTCACCCCCCAAAAATACAACAGAGGTAATTATTTCAGGAAAATTAACATAAGTAGCTAGGAAGTGTATTGCCTCCCAAAGACCCACAGAAGGAAAACCCTCCTGTTAAAGCGTGACTTTAAGTACAAGGTAGGGAATAGATTTCTGCTTGGCTCAGCCCAGGAGTAGGCAACCCCCAGCACGGGTGCCAGAGTGTGGCACATGAAGGCATTTTGCTTGGCACAAGTGCCTCAGGGAGGCTGGTGGGGAAAAAGCCAAGGCTGCACTGCCACAACAAGGATTGGGCCCCTTGCAGCTCCCCTGCCATCCACCCCTGGAACACCAACATCTTACAAGGTGAGGTAGCAGGTGTTTTTGGCACTCTGCCCAAAAATGTTGTCAACCCCTGGTTTAGCCCATCTTAAAGCTGCTTTGAGGACGCTGGACTGTAGCCAACGAGCTATTTTTAATATGTGAGAAACAGACAAGGAACTACACCAACCTGCAGTCATACTACATCATAGGTAGGCAAAATACAGCCTGTGGGCCATATCCGACCCACAGAGGGTCTTTGTCTGGCCCATAGCCAGCCCCTTGGTGCCGCCTGACCCAGGCACTGTCCAGCTGTGGTGCATCCTGCTGCCCCCTGGGCACACAGAGGGGCTGACGCAGCTCCGTGGCTAGACTGGCTTTCTAGGCAGCCCAGGCAGTGGTGGCTCCTTCTGGTGCTGAGGCTGCTGACCCCAGCCCCATGGTACTGGTGGGGACCTGCACACACAGCCCCGCTCTGGCCCACCCCACACCTTCTCCAGACTCGCCTGCCCAGGCTCAGCAGTGGCAGCAGCAGCAGCTGGCCAGAAACTTGTTCAGCACAGTGGAAAAGCAGCCCCTCCTCCTCATCGCTGCCGGGCCCATCCTTCTGCAGCTGCCTGGAGCCCACACCAAGCTGCTCTTTGCTGCCACTGCTGCCCCGCTGCACAACCCAAAGGTGGCGGTGACAGCAACAGAGACACAGAGCAGACCAGCACGGGCTCCAGGCAGCTGCAGCCGGAATGGCCCAACAGCAGCGATGGGGAGGGCTGCTTTTTCCTCCTTGCTGAGCAACAGTTTCTGCCTGGCTGCTGCTCAGCGCAGGTGAGTCTGGAGCAGGCACGGGGTGGGCTGGGTCAGGGCTGTGCACACAGGTCCCCACTGGTACTGCAGGGCTGGGAAAGGCCTAGAAAGGCAGTCCAGCTGCAGAATTACCCCAGCCCTGCTGTGTGCCCACGGGGAGGCAGGACAAGCCATGGCAGTGCGGAGTGGGCTAGGATTGAGGCTGTGAGTGTGGGTTCTCACTGTTCTGCTCATGCTGGGGTGAATCTGGAATGGGCATGGGGCAAGGCTGGGGCTGCAGGCTGTTGGTGGTGGTGGAAAGGCACCACAGGGCATGTAGGCTCTGGGCTGTTGCAGGGCATATAAGTATAATTTACCTTGTATATAATTAATTTTTGGTATAAAAAGGGTCATTGCATAAGAGCGAATTCACACATACAGAACCCACATAAAGTGAGGGAAAACTGTAATTTTTTTTTTTCCAGTTCCAAGATGGAAAACCCCCTTCCCAAAAGGAGTTATTCTGGGAGCAAGGGGAGGGACTGCTAGTGGCAAAGGTCAGGGATTAGGGGGTGGGATTTCCAGTCTAAAGACTGTGACTGGGGGCCAGGGCACCTGCCAAGGGGTGGGGCTACCCTTGCAGCCCTCGACAGTTCACCAAAACTCATTAAGTGGTCCTCCAGCCAAAATAATTGCCCGCCCCTATACTATACTATACTCACTAAAAGGGGAACAGTCTCTTTTATATACAATCCCAAATTCACAGCAGGTATGTATCTGCCTAAAGCAAACAATCCTGTGTCAGATACCCACATACTTTTCTACATATAGAAATCATGCCAAGTACAACAGTATACGACAAGGGTGTGTAACAACTGCACCAGCTCTTTTTCTCCTAGGATATCAGATGAACCTTAGAAACACCTGGCTATATTCTCACTCAAGCAACTAGCTTTGCTCTTACCTGTATAATTGGACACTTCCAACCTATGTACCTACTTGTGAGGTTTGCCTAGAAATAGTCCTATCATGAAATAGTTTTGCATGCCCCTTTATTTAAAATACTATGCAGTTGTCCTTGCTGAGACCATTAATGCTGCTTCTTCCCTGGACAATGGGGAAATGTTGCTATGTGAGGCTCTTCCCTCAGCACTTATCACTACCTCACCCCAAGTCCCATTTGTTCACACCAGGACACAGCACTGGGGACAAATCCAGTCATCTCTTAGAAGGCATATTGGGCACATATCCCAGCACCAGTTCTCCCCTGCTGTCACAACCACAAGGAGGAAACTGTGACTTGGAATGGAAACTAGAGGCACTGACAGATGTGCAGCTCCCCACTGTAACTCATGGTGCTTCACAGAAAGCACCATGAGTTACAGTGACCCCCTCCCGCCCTCCACCAACCCAACAGACATTCACTGTTTGGGGCATTGGTGTCTGTAGTCTCTCTCCCCTAGCCCCACACCATGCCCCTCCCAGCTCAGGATGGGAGTCGGAGAAGGGAGGGAGCTGCGGTCTGGGGTCTGCCCAGCCTGCACTGGAGGGGCGGGTGGATTGGAGCCCCCAACTCGGAGCTCCCTCAGGGGTGGGGGGGCTCTAATCCACCTGCCCTGCCCTTCTCCAGTGCAGGCTGGGCAAACCCCAGACCAGTGCTCCCTCCTCTGTTCCTTTGCCTTCTTCCCCTCCCATCCTGAAGACAGCACTGGGTGGCAGACCTGCTCGCATGCAGAGATAAACCAAAGTTAATGAAGGTGCTCTGCTTTGGAGCCCCTTCACCTCATTAAACGAGGGTTAATTTGTCAAGTGATTGGGCACTTTTAAAGTACTCTGCAGCCATACACTTCTGTCAGGGCACAGCTGTAAAATCACTTCTGTTAGCACCCTAGATTTCCTCTCTGGAGAAGCAAAGCACACATCTCACAGATGAAGCACTTTGGGGCCTGGAGTGGAAGCTGGGTATGGCCCAGCCTCTGAGTCTATCTACATTTGTAAAGGAGACTGATTTCCTGTTGGCTACCAGGGTCACTTACCCAGTAGGTGGTTGTTGTAGGATGGATGGCTGGGCCCTTCTTGATAAAACTTCTGCTTCTGCACTGCTACTTCTCAGAAGAGAGCCTGTTGGGGGCTGGTGAGCGGTTACAAAGCTGGGAGGATGGTATTCCTGTTCTGGAGCAATTTCTTCACATCTGGATCCCCGAAAGCCCGAGCGACAGATACAGACCTGGGGCCGATTACAGGATCCCTTGTTCTGGCAGGGAGGGTCACAGACAGCTGAGGAGACATGGATTAGAGTGAACAGACATACATGGTGCACCAGCTAACAGGCTCTGTGCTGCCCCTGGCGACCCTTCCATGCAGTTGAGGAGTGGAGTAATGCAGTATGCCCAGCTTTAGGCAATCTCCACCCTCCTTTTTCCTTCAGCTCCAAGGGGCAGGGTCTGGGAGAAGATTAGCAGGGTCTGAAAGAAGATTAGCCTAACACTGTTCATGCACCTCTTGCCCTGGGCTGGTTTGGAACCAGTGCCCTGGAGGTAAAAACTCCACACTATATAACTGAGCATCACTAGCACAGGTCAGTCACAATGCAGAGAGAGATTCAGGCTGTGACCTCAGCTCAACTGCTCCCAAATTACATTGGTGTAAGTCAAAGCAGAAATGGGGCCAGAGGCCTGCCCAAAAATGTGTCCAAAACCCTGATCCCCATGTGGAACTCATTGCAGGAACAGGGTCTCAGTTAAGCTGAGAACAATAGGAGGCAGTGATGGCATAAGGAGGGGTAGGAGAGAAGGATGAGGCTGACAACAACGTGCCTGAGCAGCCTCTGGGGAACTGTTTTATTTGGTTTCATTTTACTGTCTAATTTTATTGCTATATTTCATTGTTACATTGTTATGGCTCCCCTGCACTGATCCCCCAGAGCTGTCCTGTCCTCTCTGGAACATTCCAGCGCTCCCTCTGCCAGCTCAGTCTGAAGTCACCATGCTCAAATTCCTCACCACTTACAGGGACTTACAGTTCATTAACTTCATGCCAAAATCACTCTCAGGGCCCGTGTGTGTTCCTAATTACAGCACATCAGCTTCAGCCTGAGTTCTGGAAGGAAAATGCCATTAACTACATGCCGGGCCCTGACACAGCCCAAGCTAACAGGCATCAAATTGGGCTTCTAAATCCAGCCAGTAACAGCCAAGAAATTGCAGCTTGCTTTGGCAGGCCCCTGCTGGTTGCTTTTCATTGGGAAACAGAGCAAACAGAATCGACTGCTAGAGGGGCACCAAATGGGTGGTGCCCCCTTCGACATAAAGAAGCCCTGGCCTAGAGAAGCCCCTCCAAAGGTTTGGATTTTGGAGCTCAGGGAACCTGTTTGGAAAATGCAAGAAGAAACCTCAGCCTTGACCTGAGACTCAACCAGCTGGGACCTTTTTTGGAGGAGTTGAAATACGCAAGGAGCACTTCTGCCTCATCATGATCAGACAGTGCAGGTCCTCTGGAAGCTAACACAGGCTGAGGTTCCAGCCATGATCTGAGTTAGCCACATATTTAACAAGCCCTCCTCTTCTCCAAGGGCTCCCATTCAACACCAATCACTGCTGGATCTGAGCATCTATGCATCACTCAAGGCACAGAGACAATGAAGGCATTCACAGCTCTGACCATGCCATTTCCACATACATCTCACTCCGAAACTCAAAGGAAAAAGACCTTGCTAGGGCTCTAAAGACTTGTGGAAAGAGCCCCCCATCCACTCCCCTTAATGAAAATGACCTGTCACAAGTGTTACTGTGCAGAGAGGCATAGATCTCAGAGACACACAGGCCCCAAACCACTTGGGGCTTCAGAGGTTAAAGCCAAGACTTTAAATTACACCACTCAAAGTGAATCAATGCCCTGTACAGATCCCACAGCAAAGACAGGGCCCCTGTCAGGCAGGAATTACCAGTCCCAGTAAAGACCAGAACGCGGGGGGGCACGACATCATTTAGAAATATTAAAATGGGACTTAAAATCCATGTCCCTTTCTCACAGCCAAGGCCAGCCACACAAACTGCAGGGTCAAGGACAAAAGTAAACCAAGGGGCCCCCTTAACAGTGGACAGTTGACAGCCTGCTGAAATATTACTGCCAGAAAGAAATACCACACATCACGTCAGCATGCAAAATGTATTTTACCCAATTCATTACATGTACAAAATGTTCACATGGTGCATTGCCCCAGAGCTTAAGAGAAGGATTGTCAAGCTCTGTTCCAATGTGCAGGGCCCCACATGACTATCATTTGCCCCAGCCTAAAGCTGGCTCTGCTCCCAGCAAACACACAAGGACCTCCATCTTTTTCACCTAGCCCTGGCATGAAGCCTGCCATTTCAAACACCGCTTCACCTGCTGAAACACTGCAGGAGTTTGCTGAAGCCAAGACCCCAGTACAAGGATCCCAGCACTTCCAACAGTCCCCCACAAACAGTGATAATCAGATCAGCTCTAGACTAAGCCACTTTCAAAGGAGCCCAGCAATCAGGGAGATGGTTTTACAGGGGTCCCTGGGTTGCTGAAATCAAAGAGGGGAAGGAGGAGAGTGGGATCCCATTCTCTTCAGGCAGACTGGCTGGAGACCTGCCCTAGCTGGAACTTCCCAGCTCTTGGATCTATTCCCTCCCAAGCTTCCCCTGCAGGCTTAGAAAAGAACTTGAAAGCACTCTTAAAACCAAGTGGTTTTCCCTCAGTCTAGATACGCAACACAGGAATCATGCAAGAGCAGTGCTGCCAACTCCAAGTGTGTGAAAATCATGAGTCAGGCCCCAAAAAAACAGTAAGATGAACTTTAAAAATCTCAAGATAAAAAAAACCAACTGGATTCTTTCTCTCTGCCTCCTGGTTTCTGAGTCCCCTGGTTATACTCAGGTTGTGCTTTCAAGCTTTTCTCTACAACTTTCTCTAGAAGGTTACTCTTTGTAAATGAAAGCCAAGCTTCTCATGTAATCACTTGGCTCCAGGAGCTGGAGCTTCAAGTGTCGCAGGACTCACAATAAAAGTGTGAGACTTGGCAAACACTGCAATAGTATTAATAAAAGTAATGGCAGTGACAGAACAGCAGCAGCCCGGAGACTAAGGACTCCCGGACTAAGGACAGACATTCTAAAAGCTTGAGCCTGAGTTGATCCAATCTTTGCTGGCTAGGCTAAATCAGTTTGTAACTACACAGACATCCCAGACATGCAAGCACATGCCTGCAGTGGCTCAGGCTAGAAGGTGGTGGGGGTGGGGGCTAGAGCAGTCCTCCCTTCCCTTCTACAGCACTAAGCTGAGGGAGGCGTGGCCAGGCCCTGGCAGGATGCTCTGATTAGCCCAGCAAGGAATTGATAACAGTGTTTATAATCCCAATAAGAAAACAACAGAGGGACATTTCCAGCTACCTGTTTATTCTGTATGTTGATTCTACCTGTCCACTCAGCATAGACCATAGCCAGCATGTGGTCTGCTAGCTAATATACAGACACCTCTCTGCAAGGCAGAGGGGAGGGGGGAATTCCTGCTTAGCAGGGAGTGGTAAGGGGGAGGGCAGGGGGAGCAGCCTACATTCTCTGTGGAGATGCAGGCAGGGAGCAGAGGGGAGGGGCCAGCTCTGCTGTGGAGCAGAAAGCCCAGCCCAGCCCAGCCCAGCCCAGAGAGCATGCTGGGGGTGTCTGGTTTACCTTAAACCAGCAAGGGGCCTGGGACACACATTGCATAAACCCATTTGACCCAAATCAGTTAAGTCTGATACTACGTTCAACCAGGTTTATCTCAAATCGGTTTCAGCCATTTTCAAACTGGTTTACATGCACTGAACAGCTAGCTGGTCTGTTATAGGTTTAAAAACAGCTTCTGATCACTTAAACTGGTTTATGTGTAACGTTTGTCCCTACCCCAGAGGCAAACCTGACAGAGTTTGCCACCCTGGGGTGCCAGAATAGACCAGGGGCAGGACACTCCTGCAAAAGCCAGGTTAACTCTTCCATGTCCTTGCATCTGCTGCAACCGTATATGGAGACTTGGTGAACAAGGATCCAAAGTCTAAATTCAGTGGCAGCTGCAGGGGCAGGGAAGGGTTAATCTGGCTCTCACCAGTGAGACCTGACACCTCCTCTGTCCAGCTCCTCCACACAGCTGGAAGTACATGCCTGTCTTCATGTCAGCACCTCCTGTTGTTGAGTGGCCAGAGCTAATGTGCCACACAGAATCTGCCCATTCCATTTGTGGCATGGATGCTGTGGGTTGGCCACCCCTGATATAAATCCTTGCTAGAGTGCTAACACAGGAGACTGGCTCCTCAACATGAGCATCCAGATTGGGAACACAGTACTGGAAAGGACCTCACTAGTCCCACACTTATACATGTATGCCATTAGAACTTCTGGGGGCATATCCCACAATCCTTTGTACAATAAGCTGGAGTTCCCTACTGTTCTCTCCCTGTGAATTATGGGAGAATCTGTCTAGTCTTCCTGGCACAGAGGTGGAATTGTGGTGACAGCACTTGAGTAATATAATCTGCCTCTAACCACAAAGTGGACAGGTTACGACTTAGAGCGAAAGTGGAACCCAGGCTCTCTTAACCCAGCAATTATCAGCCAGGTATACCATAGCACCCCAGTGTTTTGTGAGATCCTCTTAAGAGTACCATGCTATATTAGCACTGTTAGGTGTGCAAACACCTACACATGATTGACAAGATAAACCTAAAGATTTCAAATAGGAACCAGGGTGTCAAAAACATTCTAACCGGTTGTGGTCAAGGTCTTTGCAACAGACAAATTGCTCTAGTATTTTTCCATCCTCAAAACATGAGTGAAAGCAAAGAACTGGTATTTTCCAGGGGGTGCCTTGAGTGTAATGAGGGGTGCCTTGAGTCTAAAAGGTTCAGAACCACTGCTCTAACATATTCCTCCAGCCAGATATGCTAACCCACACGGAAAGCACCACTCCTCATGAATGAGATGGGAGTGGGGTGTGGACAGACAGGAGAGTTGGGGACAGCACATGAGCAGTGCCGTGAGTTAACATTGCAGTGAAAACATATGCAGAGCGAAAGAATCTGTCCCCCAGAGTGCTCGCAGTCTAAGAAGAGAGGACAAATATAGGTAGGACACAAAGAAAGTATTGTCTCCATTTTAAAGATGGGAAAATAAGCTACAAAGTAGTTAAGAGCCTTGTCCGAGGCTGTACGATGAATCCATTCAGAACTAGAGACTAACCTAGCTTGGTACATTCCCTGAGACCTAATCCTTCATCAT